ATGCACGGAGAAAACGACGAGCCTCACAACGAGCTTCAATGTATTCTGTATCAAACCAGCTACGTCCCCTGGTATCACCTGATTCACCTGAAGAGACAACCTTCTTACAATGCTCAGCACACGACTGCATTATATACTGAAAGCCATTAAAAATGCAATTTGACATTCATACTTTCTTTACTCACACTAATTTCAACATAAATAAAACCTAACTTTAGATGAGAAGATTCCACTTCATCAGCAATATCAAAGCTGTTAAACAGTTCGAAGGTATTTTCTGTACAAAGAACATAATCTACAGTACTTTGTCAATTATTTGCAAAAAACGTAATTTTGCCAATACCCTTATCGTTGAACAAACGACCATTACAAATGATAAGTCCTGTAGTTTTACAAAAAGTCAAGAGTTGATGTCCACGTTTGTTGATTACACGATCCTGGGATACACGTGGCTCAATCCCATCATCAGATTGGTAGTTTATCAATTGGTAAATAGGTGGGGGTCATCGTAAATTATGATATCGGAATACACATCACTACCAGTTCGTCCATTAAAGTCTCCTTGGAGAATAATTTGACAGTCAGAATCCTTTGATCGAAAATTTGTAATATTATCTTCCAGAATAGTGAATATTGGTTCATTAGCAAAATCACTCGAGTTGACAGGTGAAAAATATACAACACCATAATATAACACGTGCAATGAACGGTGGCTGTGTATCTTTAACCACATTATATCTGTACAACAACTGTTTAATAAGATTACACATTTTGAAATCTCTCTGCTAATAAATGTTAAAATGTTATATAGTACTGCTATGTATCAATTGCATCTTGTTCAAACACCTTACGAACAGCAAATCCAGCCGTGTGCACCCCTCGTTGTGAAGCGTGAAAATAGCACAATTTTGCATGATGGTTTTCTAACAACTTTTTCCGCGATCGGTCAAAAAACGTCAGATGTCAGATCCTGTTGGGTACAGGTTTCAGGACCATGTGTCTTATTTGTGTTTTGTGCACTTATCCCTAAACATAAAACTGAGAGGATCCGACCTTGAACATGAACCAAACCCCGGTACGAGAAGTGGAAAGTCATATACACCTAGGCATATCTCTACAGAGCCATGGTGGATGGAAAAGTCATATCGAAGATATCGTTAGGCCCATGAGAAACTGTCTCCTAAGTTTTAAATATCGCTTCTCCACAAATACGCTAGAAACCATGTACAAATCGTTTGTGATGTCGATACTTGACTATTGTTATCACATCTGGGATAATTGTAGGAATGACCAAACCGTTATTCTTGAACAGTTACATCTAGATGAACTTCGTACAACATGCGGCGCTTTTTGTGGCACGAGTCATCATAGGTTATATATCGAAACAAAGTCTAAACCATTAAAAGAAAGAAGGCGCTACATTAAACTCATGGATTTTTTCAAGATGAATAACGATCTCGCACCTGAATACCTCTGTGACCTTGTTCCTAAATTTGTCTCAGAAAACAGTCAATAATAATAATCTCCGTAATAAATCTAAGCTACAAACTATAAATTGTATGACTAAAATATATGAACAATCGTTCCTACCTGACACAATTAAAATTTGGTATTCATTAACTGATAATTTCGTATTCGCTAAGTCAATCGGTGTATTCAAATCTCTGCTTAAAAATGATGAATCCAATAATTACATAGACCTGAAGTATGGCAGTCCATTCTGTCAGATCGTCCACTGTCGACTTAAGCTCGGCTGTAGTGATTTGAATGCGGATAAAGTAAATAGACACATTTCCAACAACCCTGAATGCGCTTGTGGATGCCACAATGAAGATACTGTTCATTATCTTTTTACATGTAAGTTATACACTGCTGTTAGAAATAATACCTATTTCTATGTAAATGGCCATAGTCTCCAAGCTGTGTTATACGGACTACCTACAGCTAACAACGATGTCAATAAGAACATAATAGAGTCCCTGCATCAATACATTTTTAAGTCTAAACGATTTGATAAATTATTCCAGACAAACATGTAAACAATTAATTAAGTGTAAATGCAGCCTCAAGGTTGATAAGCACCTACAACGCACATATATGTGGTTTAATGTGTCGTTTTGTGTATCCAGTTCTTGTGTATTTTGTTTAAATGACATATGTACTGGTGAGGTATTGATATAAGCAAGGTTCTGCTTGTTTACCAAACCATATTCTTTTGGAAAAAAATATGTTTAAACCAAGTTGAAGGTCAAGACATTACTGACACCAATGCCTTCCCTTTACAACGAGGAACCGTTAAGCCTAGTCCCTGGACTGAAGACAAAACCTCAGCCATCGAGTCCATGCCATCCTTTGACAGCGTCAAGAACCAGCTGTACAAGGCCAAGACGTACAGTCTTCCCACCTTTGCAGGCGACCGCTTCCTATGCATCGATGACGGCGCTGATGACAAAACATAAGGTTTCACCACCAGGAAGAATCTTGAGCATCTCTGCGAAGCTGATGTCATTTACGGTGATGGGACTTTCTATGTATGCCTTAATCTCTTTCTCCAACTCGATTCACGCCAAGGTTGCAGATCAGATGTTTCCACTGGTATTCTTTCTGCTGCCCAACAAGACCAAAAAGACCTACACCCGTGCTTTTAGACTCCTGAGGGATGCTGCACCAATGCAGGTCTCCAGTTGAACCACAGATTGTTCAGGTAATGATATTACAATTATATCTTGATCACATAACGAATTTACTTAACCATAACGTCGTGATAAATTGACATTCACACTAATTTATTTAATTCTTTTTTTACAGATGGATTTTGAGTCGGCTTCCAAATCTGCGGTCCTGTCCGTATTTCTAGCTGCAACGGGGAAGGGATGCTTCTTCCACTACACACACTGTGAAGTGTGGCATTCCATAGTTTGGAGTTTTCTTGCTTTGAGTATTTTCATTCATGTTATAAACTGTGCCCAGTTTATCTTCATGCCTCGACTGCTGTGGTCTGCTTTGCTTTCTTTGAGAAATGGCGAATGGATTGGAATCCGCTTCAACTATGTCTCGCATCCCAATCAAGCAAGTCAATCAAAGTATAATCATGGGTGGCCGCAAGTACTCTGACATGTTCATTCCATCTGCTCACAGGTAAACGTCTGGCTACTTGAAGAACAATCTCGCAACTCGACAAGTTGGATTCCTAGTTCAACAACTGTAATGTGGTTATGCAGTCCCTCAGTGAAATGTAGAGTTTTCTCATTGCTTGGGCATCATTAGAGTTGAGAACCTACTTCCAGTGTGACATCAAGGGTTGCATGTTCCATTTCCGACAGGCACAACGGAAAGGTGCCAAACGACACGGCTTCCAGACAGCTTTCAAAGACATACAATCAGTGAACCAGTTTTGTGAGTTGAGCTTCAGCCCTGCCTTTGATACGAATGCAAGCAATCGGAGACTTCTGGTGGAATGCATCTTCGACCCAGGAAACGAAAGAACCGAGAACTAAAAACGAAAAACTACAAACAGAGAAAGACCATCTTCAAGCAGGAGTGAGTGAGTTTAGTTTTATACTGCTCTCAGCAATATTCCAACTATATGGCTGGGGATTATTCGAGTCTGGAGCAGACAATCCAGTGATCAACAGCATGAGCATCGATCTGCGCAATTTGGAACCGATGACATGTGTCAACCAAGTCAGCGAGCCTGACCACCCGATCCTGTTAGTCGCCTCTTATGACAAACTTAACTCACACTCTCTTATGCAAAAACCATTTGCAGATAAGTTTATTTCAAGCTCAGTACTATTCCATATTTCCACATTACTATGCGTTATGGTGATGCGATGGTATCAGACCTATCCATAATAGTCATGACCGGCGCAATGTTAAAAGACACACTTTTTTAATGTTAAAAGACACACTTTTACACAGTGGATAACGTTGCCACATAACCTTTATAAGAGACAACAAAATAGACCAGGTATTCAGCATTTATGAAATTGTTAATTTGATACACCTTGTACCCGATGGCACTGAATAGGGCTCGCATTCACAATCACGGGTTTGTCTGGTGACCGGATTACAAGTCAAATATCCACTTTGTTGAGTAATTGGACATGACACGTTCTGATAATTTGATCCTAAATTGCCTACATATATTAACTGAGATCGTTATCTCCCGTGGCTACATTGTCAGGGAGTGTTAAAACGCACTGACCGAAAGCAGGATCAATGTCAGTCAGTGATACTCGTAGGATTTACACGCTGAATATTCCAACCATTTATGTACAACAACTGATTCTGAGCAATACCTCTTGGTATTGTGTGGAACAAGCGCTGTGAATAATAGTCACGCGACACTATATGAAATGAAACACATAATTATCAGGGTCACATTACATCCCAGCTGTCACCTGTTTGGGTCGTCATTACCGCTGGATTTCCGTTCCGATGGATTTCAGTACATTCCTGACAACACCGACTCGGACTGCCCGTTATTGATGAAAGATGAGCGAACACTGGAGCGAGTCCCACAGTCAGGGACAGTCACGGTCAGTCGTGTATCCATATCCACTTTTCTGAATACTCTAACGTATGTGTACATTGTCCAGATGAAGGTGCCGTCGCTGTAACTCATCGGAGCTGGTGCACGAGTGGTGCATCGCCACAGTCATTCCATACACGTGTATGTGGAGATCTGAGTTATAATTTGCCTTCAGCAACCTAAGCCTGGCGTAAGAGGCTGCTGACGGGATCGGCTGGTCATGCTTACTGACTTGGTTTATGTATCTCGTCCAATTGCGTAGCTCCACGCTCATGACGTCAATCACTGGACTGTCTTGTTTACAAGACCGACGTCATATTGCTGGAAGGAATATATCTGAGTGCCAAAACGAACACAAACATGTATATTAACTTCACTCGAACTAATTAACTGATTTACAATTCCAGGCTTCTACCACTCCATTCTGACTGTCGTTTTTTAAAACCTACAGTCAGTACTTCCTGACCTATGTCTCTTTGCAGTGAAACAATCGCTGACTATCACATAAGGCGTGCCACGGTTGATGACTTTGACGACGTCATGGATATTGGGGAGGTGATCAGGGGGGATTGACTACCTGCGCCATCGTTACCACAGCTTCATGGACGACAGTAACGTCAGGTCGTACGTCTGCATCATCGGAATGGAGATAGTGAGTAGCTTGATAACACACGTTTGTAACCAGTTCTTGCCATTCCTGGACAATAGACGTCTGTATTGATGTATGAACGCAAGAACTACCATGTATGTAGTTTGACATTTCACGCCACGTCGGCTGTATTTCAAACATGTAGAGAAAAATGTTTGACACATTGTGTGATGGATGTACAAAGATAACAATGTAATGACGAAGCCATTAAGATAGGGAAATGTGACTGATGTTGGTATGAAGAATCGTGTCACTTATTCATGTTTTTCCAACTTCGAAAAGCCTTTCAAAGAAAAATTTTCCTATATTTGCTAAACATCTGTCAGTAACAGAAAACAATGTTAAGATCAGTCATAGTTATCAAAATGGAAACGATAAAGGGAACATGAGAATGTTGATGTCAATATTTCATACAAATACAGCCCCCGCTCCTGCTGGTAGATTGACGGGGGCGGTGGGGTAGTCTAGTAGTTAAAGTCCTCTTGAGAGGGTACGTAAGTCAAATTTTCACGGACCAAGTTTTTATACGTAGTATTTTTGTCCTTTTAAAATTTTGGCTACAATCGCAAGCGGCTGAAGGTATGGTGTAAATCCAGCTAGGGTCCATGCAGGTAGCAAAAGTAATGTAAGTCCCCATGGTTCCTAGTTAATTACACTGTTTTAGTTTTAAATGCTAGTTTTATGTTCATATCTGTGATACTCTAGTGTTTTTACTGCCAATCGTCGACAGTTTTAGCTCTTCACAATGTTTTCACTTTTGTATTATATAAATTGTTATCGTCACGATATGGCTGAGATATTGCCGATGTGACGTTAAATATTAACTCACTCGCTCTAGTGGTTAAAGCGTTCGCTCGTCACGCCGAAGACCCGGGTTCGATTCCCCACATGGGTACAATGTGTGAAGCCAATATCAGGTGTCCCCCTCCGCGATTTTACTGGACTACTGCCAGAAGCGGCGTAAAACTAAACTCACTCACTCACTCGTAGATTCACGTCTTGTGACCGGTCAATGAGTGCTGCCATTATGTCTACATAACACATGATTATCGTCCATGCGAAGTCCATTCGTGTGTAAATCATCTTAAATTAAAACTGAACAGAATGCAAATTTTCAAAGTTACGATATGATCTTCAGTTTTGAAGCGTTTGCATGAGGCCACTGCATGAAAGATTGCAGACAGAGAGTAACTAATAATAAAGTACTGTCCGAAATAGAAAAAAACCCTTGAAATTTTCGCATTTATATTTCGAATTTATATAGTTGATATGTGAATGTGTGAAATATCTGTTAAACTAAGTTCGGCCTAACTACAGTCTCGGTGGTAGGGAAATAGCAAACGTAGAAAAAAGACTTTACTGAGGAGAGATTAGTGCAGAAATGGGCAATGCGGTTTTTTTCCAAGGCGACTTATTTGGAACAGACAATGGCTTTATGCTAAATTAGTGTGCGACGATATAGTATTACAAAGGAAACTTTTTAAATGTCCATTTTGAATTAAACTAAGCTTCATTATAAACGATAGCTGACGACGTAAATGAATAATAACGTAATACTGAAATCATTAAGGACGCAGCTACCATGGAGTCTCACTATCACTATAAAATAGAAACAGGTAAGAGGGGTCGTCTCAAAGCAAAACAAGGACGGGTGTCGCAGACGGTGGTTGGGGTCGGGCTGGGGGGATAGAGATATCAGCTGACATAAGATAATCCTTTAGGGGAATTAAACTGTGGAAGCAAACGGCATGTCATAACAACTTGAAAATACTATCCAGTCCTCCTATATAGTTTGAGACATTTAATACGCTGTCTGATCGAAGCTTTTCTATGGGTATCATACTCTTTTACACATCTCAACATAAACTTTTTGGAAGAAAAACACGTGATGTTAATCAATAAATGAGACATATTCAAAACACATGAACAAGCATAAACTATCTTTGAGATGACCCCTTGCGCCTGCAGGCAGCATTTGCATTCGTCGTCATACCTGGCTGAGCGACCTAATTGCTATCTATAGTCTGATCTAATTTTTTTAGCAGCTATTCGTTTTTTTCTAAGTTATACCAGATTTTGCGAGTAAACATGGTTTTCTGGATACCCTATTACACATCCCACTGAACGTCCAGTTAGGCCCATGTGGGTTATTTCGACATATGCTATTTGCAGTTGTTTAGGAATACTGAGTAATAAAGCTTCAGATTACGACTTGTCTAATTCCCAAGCATGCCTTCAACCATCCTCTGGCTACTTGCAATTGTTGGCAAGCTTACCAGTACAGCAGCAGTAAAAGAAATCATACCGACAGATCTATATAATATTCTAAAACACACTATTTATTAAACAGTTTTTTAATCGTACAGGAACAACCCAAGGTTTACACTGTTCTAAATGCCTTCTGTGTTAATAGGTTGGTTTCTGCTGTGTTAATCTTATCGACGATGGTTTGACCTTTCATCTACGAACCGGTAGGGTGAAGAAAGGCTTCCGAGGGCAAGGTGTTTACAGTCGCCTACTCAAACACGTTTACGCAGAATACAAAGACGTAGGCGGCATCAAATACGACGCAGTGACCATCAACAAACACAACTTTGAAGCTATGAAGAAAACCTTTGAGGACACCTATAGTGTATCGTGCAGAAAGGTCTGTAACTATGTCACTCATGGCAATAAGTGCAACATGTTTCAGATACACAAGCCTTACCTGTAACGATTTGAAACAAATAGGTATATAAAACAAACAGGAATAGGCATCGGCCACGAGTGGGGACAGTGCATATAATGCGTCTCCAGCACCCCACTGCTTCGCATATTAGGCGACCGAACCGATAGTCTGTTTGCCTTGTGATGCATCTCTGTATCGGCAGATGAATGAAGACCAGTGGTTGAGGGCGTCGGAGAACAACACAGTCCCAACACACCATCCCAATTTTGCAAAAACGGGTGGTAGTAAAAGCCTGTTTTATTCGTTCGCACAGATGACGTTTTCAGAGCAAAGGGATTATTCACATATCAAATACTTGTACACTGTTTCTCATTTGCTTATTTACGGGGAAATGTAACTGTGCTTTTAACAGAGTTCAATAGATAAACAATCATTCCCTAATGTATTAATATACCCCAGTACATATTCTTGACGTGAAAAACGGATGGGGATGGACCTCCCATGTGTGTCTCTTGCGATGAAGTGTTCACCATCAAACATATTCTGCTTGACTGTGTGGACTTTTCGACTGCAAGGGATGCACATTATGATGCGAGAAATCTGAAAGATCTGTTTCAAGTGTGAGCGGGCATCTGATTGTAAACTACCTGAGGGAAGTTGGCCTGTATCATAAATTGTAACTTTGTAAAGAGAATAACAAATTGCTTGCTTTTGTATTTGGTGCTATGACATTTTTTGTTTTGAAATAGAAATGTAATGAATATATATGTTTTTAAAATATAACTCTTTTGGACCTTGGACTTAAAATGGTAATGAATGGAAACTTGATCTCGTCACTATATGGCTGGAATAATGCCGATGTGACGCAAAGCCCAACTCAACTCAACTCATCTCTCGACGTAAAGGTCGTGATTTACTCTTTGTGTATGATAATGAGCACAATGTGGATGTCTCCGTCTTTCACTGCACATTTATCATATACAAACGTTTCCAATTGCGATCTATTTGGCTATCAGGGACTCAGCAAAACACCTCTGTTCAAATAACGTTCACACACTGCCTTGCCTTGCTGAAAATAACACGCTGTGGTTAAGATTAAGCTGTGTTTTCATTAATACGCATAGGAGATATGCAGCCGGACAACACCCATGCCATGCAACAGGTCGGTCGTCCACATGTTACATCATGCAGACATAGTCAGTTGGTGGATCTACAGAATTCATACTAAACTTCTACATTAACATCGAGGAAACCAGTGAATGGCATCATTTTCATTATCAATAGATAAACCCTTTCCTTATCTTCACAATTCTTTGGCAGTATCGTAAGTGTGAGTTTATGAATCAGAATCAAACTGTGATGGTACTACGCATTTGCCAAACACTGAAGGTATCTTGCCCCTCCAGTAGCCCCTGTCATCAGCTCATTGAATGGTAAATGACCAAGATACGAACAAAAATAGGGACTAGCATTTAACATTATTTTGTCACTGTTACGTCACATGTTAAACTTTCCTCCACGTCTTCTCTAAAGCATTTTGAAAGGTTTTCTGAGGCCATAAATGCTATACCTTTGTGAAGACTTCAGAGCAAGAGTTGTATGACGCTCTTTCACATCTGGGGCGGTGGGGTAGCCTAGTAGCCTAGTGGGTAAAATTCGCCTGTCACGCCGAAGGCCCGGGTTCGATTCTCCACATGGGTACAATGTGTAAAGCCCACTTCTGGTGTCCTCCGCCGTGATATTGCTAAAAGTGGCGTAAAACCCAACTCACTCACTCTTTGGCATCTCCACGAATTGGGCCTACTTTATTGTTTCTCGAAAGATGTGAAATGTAAACACCAAAGACTCGAGTTGCAAGAATATTGTTTGAAGTAAGTTTATATCGACTACTGAAAGTTAAGTAAGGCGGTTTTACTGGTCTCCTGTATTTCCGGATAAGGTGCGTAAATCAGTGGAATGTAGCTTCGGTTAAACCTCTTGGCAATATGCCCTTTTTCTGATTTGGAACAGGGTGTAGACGTCGTTCTATTTTATGTCACACATGCTCAGCAGGGTAGAGATCCAGTGAATGTACAGGCCATTGTGTACATTGTGCTGTTGAAGACGAGCCAAAGCAACTGTATTCACATGAGGAAGTCGACGTGCTTTATCATGTTGTACTATGAATCTTGGGCCACGGCGTTGAAGAAACCGATTTGTACAATCGGAAATGTTAACCTTTAGCCTGCTGAATTAATTTCAGCATAAGGCCTTGTAAAGAGGGTGGGTGATTTCCAACAGTCGGTGTGTCATTAAATAAGGGACAACTAAAACAATATTTTGGCACATTGATACTAGATAGAAAAATGAACATTATTATCCAGAAATATCCTGATAATTTCAAACATACAGATGTTAATGACAAGGCAAACATAAATCATGGAACTTTTCCTGAATTTACCTGAATTACTTAATTGACAGTAGAATGCGTTTCATATAAGGAACCTGAATAAATCGTTAAATTAGCGCAAACCAATTTCAATATTCGTATTGCCGATATATCATAATTATCTGACTTCAAATTTGTATGTTTGTATCGACAATTATCAGCGCGATTGCAAATTAAAAAACATTTCTGAAAAAAAAATAATCGAAAACGTTCGTCGTAAACAAATCGTATTTTCGATTACACAATGTCATTTAGAATGTGGTCAAATGTAACATATGTTAAACTTGCGATTACACTTTCTTAGTAAAGTACAAATTCTAGTACTTTTTGAGTTGAGCCCCATCCGGGATTCGAACTCACACCCTCAGAGTCAGGCACCTAATCGCCAGCACACAAAGTCAGACGCCTAACCCACTCAGCTACCGCGACTTCCACAAAAATGGAAGTCGGACAACTGGTAGTCTGGACTGCGGGCTTTGTGTACCCCTCTGATAAGTGTAACTTGGCACGGCTCCCACGGCCAAAAGCTATGATTACACGATGCCATTTAGAAACTGGTCAAATGTAACATATGTTATGACTTCGTGTGCTGGCGATTAGGTGCCTGACTCTGAGGGTGTGAGTTCGAATCCCGGATGGGGCTCAACTCAAAAACTACTAGAATTTGTAGGTGGAATATTGCCGAGTGTGGCGTTAAACAAACAACAAATCATATCTTACAAACCTACGATCGCATGATCTTCTCAAAGGACGTAACTCTACAGTTCTTGTCTGTTGTGAAACATCCTTTTTATATATCGTACAGCTACCATCTGTCATCTCATGTACTTTTGTATTGTAGACCATCTTAAGTTACCAATTTACGAGTGAAGAGACGGAATCTCCAGCACCCATAACGCCTTTTCTGTGGGAGGTAAACTCGTCGGCTATGACGGCATTGTTTGAGGACGCCAAATCCCGAAATACACTGTTCCCTGAAGGCAAAATAATAATAGATTGGGTTGCTCTTCGTCTCTTCTCATCAAATATGAAATACATACTGGCAGTGGACACATTTGCTCTCAAGTCGACATCCGGCTGTAAAGTGTCACTTCTTACAGTTGGAACACCGACAGAATGTCAGCGTGGACTCCGGTACCTCATAGACGTTTTCGGAACTGACGTCAGAGTCCTACGTCGTCACGTTATACGTCACCTGGAACATCTGAAGGCGTTGACACAAAAAGAAGTTGTACTTCAATTATGCACTTCTTCGAATTTAGCAAAAGTCGTGGATGACATAATGAAAGATCTACGAATGTCACAAATCCATGAATTGTCAACTGAAATTTTCTGTCTTGAAAAGGTTTTCCCAATGACAATGTAGGACTCGGTCATATTATTCAAATCACGCATGTATCTGTTACCCGTTACACCCGAGGCTAGCCCTCGGCTATCTAGAGCTTGTTGTCTCCGCTTTTTTAGTTCAACAAATATGTTATGTTATTGCATACAATAATACCGGAAACTTTTCAAATTGTTTGACATTATTAATAAAAAAGTATGTTCTGTTTTTCACAACGCTCTTAATTATGTTTAAGCGCACCATGGCTTTTTCAAGTACATTTAACCAATCTTACATCTCCAGCTCCTACATTCCACTCTAACAGACAACACAACACATTGTATCAACATTGGGCTCGCTGTGCACAACACAGCCTAGATTTACAATAATCATAATCACCTTCATGGCTTACCCGTAAGCGACTTATTTACACAATGTGCAATATATGCAACGAATGTTAACGAGTCAGTTACACAATGCTGAAGCCCGACACGTAAAACCAGAGATAAAGTTTCAAAGAAAAACTCTTGAACCCAAGGGGCGTAGCTACCATTAACAAAAATAAGCCCGGGCTTACTCATGATTGTTGCTAAAAAGGTTGGGCAAGCCCTCAATACTATCTAAATATAAAGCTTTACAACCTATCACCTACCTTTATGATCCTACCCGCATCAAGCACAAGTTTAAGCATTCTCAGCCTCAATCCATTAAATCTTCTGCTCTAGTCACAAATGTATGTACACTATTCGTGATCACAACAGTATTATAGCGGCTCTGCGGTTCAGATTACACCTGGATTTCATCACACGGTGGTATAACGGTTCTTATCTCCAAATTGTACATGCTATCCATTCATTATCAACACGGTGCTATAATTTGTTGCTCTGCTACGATTTCACATATATTTCATTCGATCTCAACACAGTATTGTAACAGCTTTTCAGCTCTTAACAGGGACAAACACTTAAATTGAATACATGCACTATTATAACGGCTCATCAACACCAACACAAACCACGGTCTGAATACCTGTTTTGGATTCCTCAATAAACAGCATCACGTGAGAGTGGTAAAGTACAATATCAGCTCGAGTAATCGTTAATAATTCAGCAGATCTGAGAAATCCCGCATAGCCAAGCAAACAATCTGCAAATATTCTTAAATCCATTAGAGAACCTTTTGCATCATACAACTGCTCTAAACCAGATGCTTCAACTGATTCTTTTTTATACACTTTTTCCAGCCAGCTTTCTTTTTGCAGCTGCTACCACGTTTATAACTAATCCATTCTCTGTAGGACTAACCAAGCCAACACTGAAATCAAGCTATAATAAGCATTCAAAACAGGCGACACTGAATCACCTGCTTGCACAATAAACAAAAAATAAATTGCACCTTGCAAAGGTGATATAGGCAAAGCATCAGACATGTTATTACTCTTTGCCTACCTTTCCCATGTTGTATAACCCATGCTGTTCTTCGTTGTTATGGCTCTTGAATGAAATATCCCGGACATGGGAAGAAAGACAACCAATGTCATCGTGATTGGTTGGTAGAATTCATGAAACATACCTGTAACAGGTCAATCAATATTAACGAAAATCAAGCAACAGTGATAACATGCTGAAACGCAAATGATGTTCACCAAACATACCTCCTCTTATTCTACCAACAACATTTGCGTCTTTTGATCTTGACATATATATGCAATCTTTCTCTTGTGGTATGTACCGACACTGTGAATACAATATTTGTCAGATAGAAGACGACTTCCACTCTGGAACAATAAGCGTGCCTACCGCGTCACATTCATACATGTATCAAATAACTCTGGGTATCAAACACACGGGGGACATCCCAGTTCATTTCTCCTTTCGACTCACAGTGAAACAGCCTACAGCCTAACACCCTGGATCGCTACAGCGTAGGTTGGTAGGTTTATTTAATTCCTCCAGGTTTGGAGATACAAAATTAATTGAATATTAAAAACTTAATTTTTTAGCCACAAGTGTTGAAATTTTAGGATAGATTAATTAGGGTCTTTAAACAGTGAAACTGGACCAGTTGATCCCAGATGCAAACTGTCCAACCAGTAGCAGCAGTTGTATGGTGTCAATGTCATACGTGTGACGTCCGAGCACCACTTCGGTAAGCGTTCTCTGTTCTATATTGTCTAACAGAACATGTGTGTCTACACCGAATATGTCTAGAATATCCAGCCACATGGTTTCTCGTCTTGCGCTTACCACATTGTCAGTACAAAGGTGAAGAATGTGGTGTACAAGACCATGAACAATGCAGGAACACATTGGGCACTGTTCAGTTCTCACTGGGTGCGTGATAAGAGAGAGAGTAGCTTTAAGCCTCTCTAGCCTGTGTGGGTGATGTCTACTCATGGTCCATATCAGATGTGGAATGTACACACTGTGGTTGATGAGGAACAGCGACATACTTGCATCAGTCTCCATCCATGACACAAGTTCATCAGTCTCAGTTTTGAAAACATGCTTCTTCACTTGGGTATTCCAGGTGTTTTGGGTTTGGGAAGGAACATAATTGGATCTGTGACAGAGCATATGTGAGTCCGTAGCAGTTACACAGTCTCTTGATCTCCGGGATGAATCCATGGGTGACTGGACTATTGGTGACTGTATCGCTCAAGTAGCAATATAGCAGGACATGCTTTGCTGGACAGGATGTTGGGCATGTGAGCAATCGTCCAAACAGACAGAGTTTTCTAATGCTTATGGTTGCAGTGATCGGCGGGATACCTGTAAGTGAAAGCACCATATCAGCTCTAGTTCGTGTTGGTAAGCCTTGGATTATCTTCAGGCAAAATCTGTGCGCCCTTCCCAGCTGAAGACAGGAACCTGTAGACACGTTGTACTGAGTTTCACAGCCGTACAATGCACGTGGGAGAACAACTGACTCGTATATCTTTGCTGCTGTGAATGGGTGAAGTCCATTTTCATGAATACCAAGGTTTCTGGTGGCAAAGAAGGTTGACTTTATTGTTCTACAGATGGTGTCAACCTGTTCCGTTGACTTCATGTTCTTGAATATTGAAGTGCCAAGGTGAGTGTGCTGGTCAGTCTCCTGTATTGGCTTGTCTCCCAGGAATCTGGTTCTTTGGGAACGTTTGTAGGTTGCAGTTGATTCGTTAAATACTATCACGGCACTCTTCTTTGCACTGTACTGGAACCGTCATTTACTGCTGTACGCAGCACAGATTGCCAACAGGGAGTCTAAACCCTGTTTCGTAAAGGACAGCAGTGTTATGTCATCAGCTTGAGTGGGTGCAGCACATGGGATTGTGTTAATACAGGCTCCAGACGGTGAAGCAGAAAGAAAGACTCTAGCTGTTCGTCAAGATATAGCTGGTAGAGCCAAGGTGGTAGTACACCTCCTTGCCTAGTCCCTTGCTTGATATCCAACCACTTGCTTGAGTAACCCCCTGTGAATAACACAGCTCTGCATAGTGTCACACATTGATAGGATAACATCCAGAAGTACTTTTGGAGTGCCGATGTGTCTCAGCTTTAAGAAGAGGCCAAACACAGTCAAATGCTTTTTCAGCGTCAAGGAAACAGCTGTAGAGTTTAGTGTTATTTTCCACAGAATATACTATGCACTCTCGGAGAAGAAATGAAGTCATACCCCCTCTTATTTTACCAGTAACATTTGCTTCTTTTGACTTTGACATATATATGCAATCTTTCTCTTGTGGTATGTACCGAGACTGTGAATACAATATTTGTCAGATAGAAGACGACTTCCACTCTGGAACAACAAGCGTGCCTACCGCGTCACATTCATACATGTATCCAATAACTCTGGGTATGAAACACACGGGGGACAACCCAGTTCATTACTCCTTTCCGACTCACAGTGCAACAACCTACAGGCGAACACCCTAAATTGCTATAGCGTGGCCTCAGACCACAATTATTTTCCTTCTTTGCTATCTACAGTGACATGCCAGTGCACCATAATTAATATCGGTCGTAGGCTCTTCTCCTGTTGCATGCTGACCAACCTGCCACTTGTCACTTAATCGGCAAAATATGAGCCTGGATCGACCATGTCAATTTTGCTGTATCCACTGTAAACAATGGTCACCGGAAGTTACGAGCCGAAACACACTAGACAGTCTTGAACTTGGGGTCAAATCAAGGAAGGCTGGTGTCAATACCATGAGTAGATTGTGGACCAAAAGAATTTTGCAATAAAGTACAATGTCTTAACTTTCATTTAAGCTATCACAAGTCACCCTGAAAAAATTAGCACAAGCAGAACAGCCTATTTAAACAAGGCACTATATTCTCATATTTTACTTCCGGGTCATGGTAAAAGTTAACGGGGGTAACTGTGGTCTGAGGCCTATCAGGACACCAAAACGTCTGCAAATTAAATAAAATTTCATCAATACTAAGCCCAGACACTATGTAAGGCTCACAGAAAAGCCCTAACTCATACACAACTTGACTTATACTCCTTTTACTCCATGCTGTATCTCTGGCATTTGAGTGTTAATTTGGGGCATGAATTAATTTCAAACACAATTCTAATTTGTCTATAACTCCGTAACCAGGTGGAAATTGACAAAAACATCAAGTGTTCCTCTTTTGTTATTGCATGTGCTATCAGAGGACACTGGTTTCAGTCCATTAAAGCATTTCTTTCATTTTTTTTCCTATTTTTATATACATACATGCATTTTATACTAAAATAATTCCATTAAAGTTCATATTTTTCAACACAAATGAAAATTTGTTAAATTGTTATTCATTAGAAAGCCCTATCTTTCCTCGTTAAATTGATTGTCTGGTCAAGTAGCTGTGTACAGCCAATCAAGTGCAGCGAGTCACCAAGCGTGTCCACTCTCACCTGACACCTGGCCAATACACGACAAAGTGTCAGTAGGTGTGTATGGCTCAACTGCGATTTACACCAGTGGGACAAGACATGTGTATGTCTTGAGTTTCCAATACATTTTCTAATACATATACCTGCTTGTCAGTGCCAGTGACAACACACAGAGATAGGATATATAAGTACATGCTGTGCTCAGAGCTCATTAGTTCTATTCGACACAATCACGATGAAAGGCGACCGCAAGAGAATCAAGTCACAGTTCAGCAAAGGCCATACTCCCTGGAACAAAGGTCTCACCCTTGAATCGGAAGAGTCGGAAAGTGCCTCTCCACCCCAGATACCCAGGACAGTCACTAGGTTGAGTGCAGAAGACTTCTCCCTGGTCACCATGTCAAGGCTGGATGGCACTGGGCTGTCAACACCTGACTGCGATGGCATCTCTACTTCAGTGAGGCTGCTGCGTCCCACTTCAACCAGCAAGCATGACCTGAAACAAGAGTCAAGCAAAGATGACTTTGAGGGTATGCGACTAGTCGACAATGAAAAGGTGGCCGAAGCATGGAACACAGCTCTGCGACTGCATCGGTCAACATCCAGTGACTGTGACGACCCTCAGCTGCAGATAGCCAAGGAGAGAAAATAGGGAGCATGCTGGAAAATAACACTGAAATGTGTCACATGTG